AAGCGATTCTCCTGCCTCCGCCTCCCAAGTAGCTGGGACTACAGACACCTGCCACAACGCCTGGCTATTTTTGGGTTGCAGCTGCCATTGTTTGGCAGGCCCGGGCTGGATTTGAACTAACCAGCTCAGGTGTATGTGGCTGGTGCCTTCCTTAGCCGCTTGAGCCATAGGTACTGAGCCAAGATAAGCTTTATGTATAGTGAGCCAAATTGTGATGGCTCATGCTGTAAATACCAGCACTTTGAGAGGGAGGCCTAAGCAAGAGGATTGCTTGAGTCCAAGAGTTTAAGATCAGGCTGAGCAACATAGTAAGACCCTGTCTCTACAAAAAACAAAAAAAAATCATCTGGATTTGGTAGTGTATGCCTGTGGTTCTAGTTACTTAGGAGGCTGAGGCAGAAGGATTGCTTGAACCTAGGAGTTCCAGGCTGCAGTGAGCTATGATGGTGCCACTGTACTCCAGCCTGGGTGACAGAATGAGACTTTGTTTAAAAACAGAAAAAAAAATTACATGCAATGAAATGCAAGATTTTAAGTGTGCATTTGCTTAGTTTTAAAAAATGTGTTTTTAACTCAAACCCTAATTAAGACAGTGAATATTACCGTCATCCCATGTCCCTTCTCTTTCAGTTCCCCCATCCAGATTTCAGTCATTGTTCTGATTTTTCTCTCACTATAGAGAAAAATTGGTTTTCCCTATTCTAGAACTTCCATATAAATGGAATCATACTATATATACTCTTTTTCTCTACAAGTTTATTCACTGGGCATAGTTTGAGCCATGGTATCATAGTTCACAGCAATCTTAAATTCTTGGGCTCAAGCAATCCTTGCTTAGCCTCTTGAGTAGCTGGAACAACAGGTATCTGCCATAATACCTGGCTAGTTTTTCTATTTTTAGTAGAGACTGGGTCATTTTTTTTTTTGAGACAGTTTTACTATGTTGTCCTTGGTAGAGTGCTGTGGCATCATAGCTCACAGCAACCTCAGACTCTTGGGCATAAGCAATTCTCCTGCCTCAGCCTCCCAAGTAGTTGGGACTACAGGTGCCCACCACAATGCTCAGCTATTTCTTTTCTTTTCTTTTCTTTTTTTTTTTTTGAGACAGAACTTCAGTTTGTCACCCTCCGTAGAGTACAATGGTGTCACAGCTCATAGCAACCTCCAACTCCTGGGCTTAGGCTATTCTCTTGCCTCAGCCTCCTGAGTAGGTGGGACTACAGGCACCCACCATAACGCCCAGCTATTTTTTGTTGAAGTTTGGCCAGGGCCAGATTTAAACCTGCCACCCTCGGTATATGTGCCCACCCGCCCTGCCCAGCTATTTTTTTGTTGTTGCAGTTGTTGTTGTTTTAGCTGGCCCCGGGCTGGATTCAAATCTGCCAGCCTCGGTGTATGTGGCCAGCGCCTTACCTACTGAGCTATAGGTGCTGAGCTTAGAGACTGGGTCTTGCTCTTACTCACGCTGGTCTCGAACTGAGCTCAAGCTGTCCACCTCCCTTGCTCTCCTACAGTGCTAGGATTACAGGTGTGGTAGTAGGTTTTTTAAAATTGCTAAATAGTATTCTTTTGTTTGAGTGAACTGTGATTTGTTTATACTTTCACCTATTGATGGCCATTTGTATATTGTTTTTACATGGGGTTGAGGAGATTCCTTATACAAGTCTCCCAGAAGGCTAATTATTATCCTGATAGAAAAAAAATGTAGCTGGGCAGTGGCTCACGTCTGTAATCCTAGCACTTGGGAGGCCGAGTCGAGTGGATTGCCTGAGCTCACAGGTTCAAGACCAGCCTGACCCAGGGTGAGACCTTGTCTCTAAAAATAGCTGGGTGTTGTGGCAGGTGCCTGTAGTCTCAGCTACTCAGGAGGCTAAGAGAATTGCTTAAGCCCAGGAGTTTGAGGTTGCTGTATGCTATGACCACGGCTTTCTACCTAGGGTGGCAAAGCGAGATTCTGTCTTTAAAAAAAAAAAGAAAAGAAAAGAAACATAACGTGTAAGAGAAGTCTTTTAAAATAATTTTAATGAAACAGATATTTGACATTTTCTTTTTTTAAAGCATTTGGCTATCCAGTGTCATTGGTCTCAGAGGCCAGCAGTTATTGGAGATGTCCTTCAAGTCTACAGTGGATCTGAAGGGAGGGCTATTATTTTCTGTGAGACCAAGAAAAATGTAACTGAAATGGCCATGAATCCACACATAAAACAAGTAAGTCTTTTTTCATCATTTTTCTTATTGAGATTGTAGGGACAAATTATAGATCAAAAACTATATTATCCTTGATAGTCATTCTCAATATTGGTGGTTTTTTTAAATTAATTAATTTTTATTAAATCATAGCTGTGTACATTAATGCAATAATGGGATACAATGTGCTGGTTTTATATACAATTTGAAA